TGTCACTTGCTCCATTTCCCTCTCCTCTCTCTCTTTCTCCCTCTCCACATTCTCGTGTTTAATTTAGTATATCTCTCCCATGTCGCTGCACAACCATCACCTTTCATTTTTTTCTTTGTGGGGCCGTTTCGGTGTATATAATAAGTCCTAAACTCTGAATTCTGACGTTGTAGGACGGCCAGCTAAGCCCCTCCTACCTGGTGCAACTCGTCACCATGACAACGCGCACCAATGCCATAACACTAACTCCGTCAGTGTTACATGGGACTGTGTTAGGTTGGCACCCGGAGCACCACTCTACCTTGCACCTGCTTGGTGCGCGTTACTTTGTAAACTCGTCAGTATTGTAATTGGTCACGTGGCCCTGTAACTGGGCAGTGTGTGTGTATATAGCCTTTGGAGGACGTGCTTAAGTATTCAGTCCGTGAGAAAGTCTATAGTGTTAACACTCTGATACCTTGTATTTTTCAAGTGTACAAGTGCACTTACAAGTGCTTATCGCTTATCAATCGTACAAGTGTTTTTTCAAGTGTACATTTTTTCAAGTGTACAAATATTAATATTTAATACAAAATGAATTCTCCGGAACTAGAAAATATGTTTGAAGAAAAGGCGAAGTTGGTTATTGTTAGTAAAAAGGTAAGCAAGTATATGCCATTATGTAAACATCTAGTGTGTGTGCTTATCTTGAAATGTCCACAAAATTCTTATTTTATAGCTTTAAGATTTTACATGTAGTGTCTTTCATGCCAAATGGAGGCGTGGTGCGGTCGCTTACACCTCAAGAGTACGGGCAAATAATCGACCTCGTATGTCGCGTTAGTGGGTTCCCAAGTGCTCTTCGCCCCCCTCGCAAATAATGGCTTACGTGGCCGCCAGGGGTGACAAGTATACCAACAAGTATACGTTGTATAAGTATACAAGTATATATTATGACAAGTATAATAATATACCAACAAGTTTGGTATATTATTAATGTCTATTACATATAACATGTGAAAAACAAATGAACCCACTGAGGATATATATGATCAATAAAGCATTAATAGAAAATGATATAATTTATTGAATAATTTCTTAATAGTATACATATGAAAATTTGATTTCTTAGAACACAGGACCACGTAATGGACAATTGTATGCGTTAATTAAGAAATAGGACGAGGCTTATGAATATATGTACGGGACCGCAGAATTGTCGGTGATAGTTGACAAGGGGGTCCAATTTGCCCTCCGTAATGATCGTACCTCCTGTTGTTGTTGTTATAGATTCAGCTGCTCGGAACAAGTTCCAAGTAGCACGGGCTATGGTGAGCCCGTAACTTACCTGGCACAGGAGCGGGGCAAGTAGCACTGGCTATGGTGAGCCCATAGTGGACTTGCCTGGCACAGGAGCGGTGCTGTGTGCGTACCTCCTGATTATTGTGTGTGTACTAAATGTTGGAGAGTATACCCCAGTTTCTTCTCACAATCATTGAATATCCATATATCATGATTCGCCTGAAGTTACTATCCTTCTTTAGAGGTATATATTACTAATTACGGCAATGTAGTTTAGTCATGGTTTCGGTCACGGAAATAGGATGCGCATTTTTATTAGTTCCTCTTCAATCACAGGTTCCAGGTTCGGGTGGGATGCAACTTTTCTCATGCACAATGAAATCACATTAACGTAATGTATCGATGAGAAAATTGGTTGGGGGCCATGAGGAGGATTCGAACCTATGCTTTGGGTACCACCGAGCACACTCCGTGGTGTAGTAGTCTAAGGCGTGTGCTTGGGAGTATCCAGAGCATAAGTTCGAATCCTCCTCATGGCTCCTGTTGATTATCTTACCTCTTTCTCACCATTAAGAGAAAGGTGTACCACAGAAGATCATATAAGCGTCGCACTCTATTAAAAAAATGGGTATTAAGTGTGGAAGTGCTTCCCATCAAGTGTGGAAGCACTCTACTCGTGGACCACCTGCCGTTTTAGGTTGTAACTTCAGGCATGTATGTTGCAGAACTAAGGTTACAAATGCCCTTGCAACAGGCATCCCAGTGGGTAGATCTCTAAACGTCACTTTGGTTTTTCACTACTAAGATTATGGTCAACCACTTCTGTCGTAGCCTTGGAGTTTATCAAACCCCTGTTTCTACATGGGTACAGGATATTGTGCACATAACTATAACTTTTTTCCTTGGCCCTCATCTCAGGAGCGCATACATGCTGGCTTAGATGCGCTCCTTAGACCAGAGAACCATGGGCCATACCATATGTGGACGGACATACTCTTCGACTGATCCAGGTCTTGTCGAAGCTATTGGAGTATGGATGCGAAGTGTGCTCCTCGGCCACTACAACTCCGTTGAGAACCATGGACTCTGTCCAATGTGCTGGCATTTGTCTGAATTGTGCTTTCTGGACTTCACCACTGATTAGACTGGGTGGCTGCCGGGAGTGGCCTTTGGCTTCATGCAACACACACAGTGTTACATCCCCATAGGCTGCAAAGTCCCAGCTGTGGCAACCGTGTTCACTGTATTGTACTTGCGGGGTTTGAGCTCTGCTCTTTCGCCCCCCCCCCCCCCCCACACACACACACCCACCCTCGTACGCACGCCTGCGCGAAAGAGAGAGAGAGAGGAGGGGAGAGAGAGGGATAGGGGGGGGAGGAAGCAGCTGCCTTATTCCCAGGTACCTATTTACCGCTAGGTAACAGGTGCATCAGGGTGAAAGAAACTCTGCCCATTTGTTTCCGCCGGCACCGGAAATCGAACCCCGAACCACATAGTACGTATCCAGCGTGTTGCCCACTCAGCCACCAGCGCCCCGTGGAAACTGTGGTGCACCATCTAAGCATGAGACACGTGTGGGGTAGCGTGACCCACTGGTGAAACTTAAGACACAAACACCTCAGATTGTCCATGTCGTGAAGAATACACTTACTCTCATGCTGGGGGGCAAACGTTGATTATTTTTTTTTTTAATTTTTGCCCCCGAGGGGCGAGTTTATTGGGTAGCGCCACTCATCTTGTGAGTGGACACACCGCCATAGTGACAGTATTGGGCAGCGCCACTCATCTTGTGAGTGGACACACCGCCATAGCAGCATCTACAACACTCCCCAATAGGTTTGAAGAGGCTGAACTTCTAACACATTGAGTGTTTTTGTTTTTTCATCACATTGCATATTTAGTTTTAAATATTTTCATTGTATCAGTATGAACTTATTTCGGTTTGTAATTTGAATGTTAATTATTATATATTTGGGATTTATTGATTTTGGTATCATATAAGAAATTGAAATTGATAAGAGACCCTTCTTATATGGTGCCAGATACAATATTTGTCAATAATTTCCATTGGCTGTCCAGTCATTAACTCAGGTTTTCTGGTAGGAGGTATGCAGCTCTGTAATTAAGTACATGTACTTAACCACTATCGTATTCTTGAAGATATCATAACTTATCTAATTAGAAAGTGTTGACTAAGAATTTTTATGCCTCTGACAAACCATCCTGCTTGGTAAGGATGGTAAGGTAAGCACCGTCCGTGATACACAATTTTATAGCCTTTCGTAGATTTTAATAAGGAGGCCTTTTAACAAGCCGTCGGCTATATGTCCCCCTGGAAGCCACTAGAGATGGTGGGCCTCGTGTAAATATAAATGCCAAAGTACTAAAGAATATTGCAAAAGGAAAAGATAAGAGGATAGTAATGCTTAAGTGAAGTCAAAGTTGTGAAATTTGTTCCTTATAAACGGAAGTAAACGGAAGAAGTGTGAAAGATGGTTGATGAGGCCGGTCTGATTGGCCGTCAAACTACCAGATCTAACGAGCGACTGCAGGAGATGATAATGAGGACGTGGAAGCTGACTGAACTATTTATATTTTGTTGTACAGTATAATATTTTTTAACCTTTCACAATGCAGTATTGTTCACCATTTATCTCCTGACTGGTGTTTCCCAATATTATTTAAGTGGGAAACAGTAATGATATTGTATGCATGAACAGGTTGTAAGTACGGTACTCGAGTAATATCCACCATTGAAATATCATAGTGTAATATAATATAGTATAAAGATTTAACACCAGTATTCGGTGTTCTACAGTACAGTGTTATTGCAGTACTGTACTGTATGCCAAATAAATTACAGTACAGGTACAGTACTGTATATATTTTGTAATTAAAGCTAATAAAGAGGTATATACAGTCCTAATACCATTCACTTTTCCCTTTTTGGTTCGTTCTTTGGATAATGCCATGCATATTCCAGGCTCAGTTTGTAATACACCAATATGAATACTGTATTTAAAAAAAGGGCCCACTAATTTATACATACTGTACTGTATACAGTATTAGATATTAAACCAGATATAACAAATAAAAAGTTCTCAATTTCCATTGGGCTGTACATTAAATAAGTATTGAATCTACAGAAATGACTAGTGCCATTTAATAGATAATCTTCTCTTGCAATTCATGTTATTAGTATTTATGTGAAGGTATCTTTCTAATTTTAAATCCAATTTGAACATCAACAAATTGTGTGTCCAGATTCTGGAAACTTTACCCTGTGGTATAATTGTTTATCTTGTACACAACTTTTGCATACATAAATGAATAAGGGTATAAGATGTGTGTGAGGTTATCATTATAATAGCATGGAAAATGTTGCATGAAAACTATTGTGCTGTACAACACAAGCATTGAGAGTATGTGGCAAAATAATGTATTCTGTACTAATTTGATCATCTTGGATTTTCCTGCTTATATTGTACTGAATTGTTATTATATGATGCATCAGTCAGGGATAAATATTTTGATGTAACCTTGGGAATTAATATGCTATTGATCATAAGTTGATAAAAGTACAATACAGTACTTTTGCATCAGAATGCATCATTCAGGGATAACAATTTTGATGCAAACTTGGGAATTGATATGCCATTGATCATAAGTTGATAAAAGTATGTACAATACAATACTTATACATGTTGTCTTCTCATCAGGTACAAGACACATTAGAAGACGGTGTGGGAGTAGTGGAACCTGTGTCCTCGGGCAACGGAAAGCTTGTTTCTCAGATTCGGCTGCTGTGTGAAGGATCAACGAGCGCTCCCTCACAAGAGCTTGCAGATCTCCTTCATCGGCCTCACCTGCTGGTATGGCCTCCGACGTGTGCCCAAACTGGCGTTATGTAAGCTTGCAAACCATCACATGTTGTCTGTAGCCCATGTTGAGTTCTGCTGTTACAATTTCAATTTTGCTGGATTTTGAATCTGCATGGCCAGTTGTAAATGTCCTCTTTCATGCAAGGTTTTTTTGATATTGCATCATGTAAAACTTGTTTATGTAGGATGGATGCTTAACACTAGTCCCATATTTGCCTTCAAAGTATCATAATTTCTTCTACTAATGGAATGCTGCTTTTTTCTCATGAAGAATTTCAATTTTTTAAAACCCAATTTATTTTAATTAAGTAGTTTTCTTCAAACCCCAATGTTTTAATTCGACCAATATTTCTACATACTAAAAAGCTCTTTTGAGTATTGCCTGTATTTGCATGTGTTATCTATTTTATACTGGAAAATGAACACTAAGTATTTAACCAAATTAAGTAATTAAAATATCATATAACTACCCAACAGCTCTCTTGACATCCTAACATAAAAAATAAATACCATATGTCCCAAGCACCTGCATTTCTTACATTGGATCTGAATTTAATGTCTCAAACCTGCTTGCCCATCTGTAGCAAAGTGGTCTACATCCTCGGCTCAGAACCAATGACCCCGGGATCGATTCCCAGGTGGAGCATAGATGTTTGAGCATGTTTCCTTTCGCCTGATGTGTCTGATCACTTAGCAGTAAGTAGGTATCAGTAGTTGTTGGCCTAGGAGACCTTGATAAGTCTAACTGTCTTCTTATTCCTGACTATGGGGAAACCATAAGGTTAACCAAAATATTAATAGATATGGATTTATAATGGTATTATGTACTATATGTAGTATATAGTATTGTTCAGAAGCAAGAATTACCATTTTGTGACTGCTAACAAGTCTCTCTCATGAGCAGACATGTATCAGTTTGCCTGTGGCCAATTTTACAGGCTTGTTCTGTACCAGCAGACCATCCTAAGGTCAGGGGGTTCCCAGGTATTACCACAGGTCCACATAGCTATCACAACTTGGCTGATCTGCCACTTCATGTAGGAATGTGTCTGGTTCCCTAATGAATGCCAAAGTCTTGTACCTCTGTGGTTCACTTGGTGTTCTCAAATACTGTAGAACTTACAGCATCCACTCCTGGTTTTTTACTGCACTTCCTACCTTATCTTTCACTCTAGGCTTGAGTGCAAAGCACAATTTATATACAGTACTATGTAAGCAATATTTTAAGTACAGTAATACAGTACCAGGTATATGCCATAGAATTTAAACAAAAAATTTCAAAAAGAAGGTACACCATGTTCCATTCTAACTCTTGAAGCATGGTTGAATCTGCATGCCTTTGTCTGAAGCTTGAAACTAATGATATTGGTGACAAAGCAGTGCTTTATTTTAATATATATCAATCCATGGAAAGCTCTAAATTAGGCTTTTGATCTATTATTACCTATTCTTAAGTTGCAGTACTTAAACTGTAAAGATAATGGGTTGTCCCTTAATGCAATATACTCTTGCTCTACCCCTCAAAATTCTCTCCACCAGTGTGATCTATTCCTTCACTATCCTCCAGTACATCCTCTCCTTGTGTATTCAACTTAGGGAATATTAGGCTGCAAGTCTAATTTGATCCAACACTGCCAATGAACCCCAGTAAATTACATCTAGGTATATATTAGAACAAAATTATATGAATATATGAATTTTAGATATGACTCTTCTGATGTATCATAAGATCTAGAAGTTGTCAATAATAAATTCGCTTTCTAGAAAGTATTGTATTAGTATTTAGAAGAGTGATGACAATTTCTAGACCTTTAACAATAGAGGGGGGATGTTGATAACCAAGTGGTTGTATTTCTTTATTTGTGAGATGCATGTTTAAAATTTCTATTTTAGGATTGACCTAATGCATAGAGAGGACTTTGGTTATGCATAATTTTAATCTTCATAGATTTGCTTGACTGGGTACATGGGCTTCGTGATTGGTATTGCAGGTTTGCTAATGCCTTTAGTATTTGTTGATATTGTAATCTCTCTTTTTTTATATAGATAACTGACACTACAGTTTTACAAAGTAATAATTGTAGATCTAACCTCCCATAATTATACTGTAGTTATTTTAATTAATAAAGAATATATATGAATGCAGTACATGTGAAGCAGATATTAGTAATTTATTATACATTACTCTATGCAGATAATTGTAATTTGAGATTTAACATTATATATCATATCTATTTTTAAATGTTTGATTAAATATCGATGTTTACCTTACTTTTATATGTTCCAGATGGTCTTCTATACCTATATCCCCAATATACCGTACAATACTCACTTGATCTGACTTTTTATTTCTGTATCTCTTGATGGCCACAACATCTCTCACCACTTTTTATAAGGCCAGGTTTAATATTTTTTTCTGACTTCAATTGAAATATGATTAATTTACCAAGAGGAGGGTTATGTAAGTATTATTTTTCAAGTGCAGTATAGTACCGTACATCTGGTTTACATTGGAACTTCTCAGACCTTAAATTGGGATATCCTCCTCAATGTTATGTAATGCATGTACTGTACGTTTAAAGATATTAGTGGCGTGATCTTTTCTTATGGTGATAAATACTGTTCTTGTTTTCTTCAATAAGGCGTCTATCTTTCAATCTAGCAAGGTGTCTTATCATTGTGTAGCCAGGTCCAGTATTGGTAAGTTTGTCTAGTAAAATTTTCTCTACTGAGGTATCACTGTTTCCTCTGCATTAAAATACCTCTTTAGCTATTTCCATTTCAGTAAATTGCTATTGTTCTATGTAACTTCTTAAAGAACTGTTAAATATTTTCCTTTTATCATAACTTCCATGTTTCTTTCTTTCATGGGTGGGAAGGCATCAACCCAGAAGATATAGACAAGAGAATATAGAGGTCTACGTTGTTGGCTCACAACCGAGGATATGGAGTTTGATCCCCCAGTGGGACAGAGATGGTTGGGCGTGTTTGCTTTCAACAGATGCTCTGTTTATATAGTAGTAAATAGGTACTTGGGCGTTAGGATACTATTGTGGGTTGCATCATGGGTGAGGTCAGTAGCTGGATTTGGGGGAAACCATGATTATCCTAGCAGGCTTCCTGTTTCTGACTATGAGAAACCATAAGATGAACCCTATTCAAAACAAAGACACCCATCTATTTGGCTTATCTTCCATACTACATAATCACACAGAACCAGCATCATCACATTGCAGCCACACATCCACAGCAGTACCCTACTACTTAGTACAACGAGGTGTAAAGTGCTTAATGTGAGTTGTCATTCAAAATGTTTTAGATATACTTTCTTCTAAAACTGATTTCATGTTGAAATCTGTTTCAAGCTGCTGACAATAAAACACAGGACACTCCACCACCACGAAATGGGCATGAAAAGGCAACCGATCAAAAGTGTTGGAAAGAAGCCATCTACCGTCTCCCAAAGGAGAGGGGATGTACATTTAGGCATTGCCTCTGCTGCATGAATTGTTCATGACTTTTGTGAAACCAAAGTTGGAATGTTCAGTGGTTGTATGGTGCCGATATCTCAAAAAGCACATCAGTAAACTGGAAAAGGTGCAAAGGCATGTTATAAAATGGCTTCTAGAACTGGAAAAGGAGGTAAGAAAGAGGCTAGAGGTGTTAAATATGTCGAAGCTAGAGGCTAGAAGGAAAAAAAGAATTGATATGATCACTACATGCAAGATAACAACAGGTATCAACAAAACTGATAGAAGAATTCTAGAAATCTTTAAGAACAAGAGGTCATAGATTTAAGCAAAGGGAACAAAGCTGCTTGAAAAGCATTAGAAAAATTCAAGCTTACCAGCACATATACCAGTATATATAGTACCAGCTTACTTACTTTTGCAAACAGAATTGTAGACGAGTGGAACAAATTAAGGGAGGTGGTGGTGGATGCCAAAACTGTCAGTAGTTTCAAAGCATCATATGACAGAGTACCAGGAAAATGGGACACCACAAGCATAGTTCTCATCCTGTAACTATACTTGGGTAATTATACACACACACACACATGTTATATAATCTCCACAATTGCAAAGAAACTGAAGAATATACTGTATATCCAAGCACTTTTGTGTTCAACACATCAGTAAGTTGTTGCAATTTGTATACTGTACCTCAAACTGCACTATTTAATTTCCATCTCTGAAGTAAATTTCAAATGACATTTTGGATTTGTAGGTTCAAAACATACTTTCTGCCATCTTTGCATAACAGTTTTTTAATTTTTTGAGTAGACGGCCATTTCTTGTGTTCTCCAGCTTTTGCTCTAAAGTATGAAAATAATTATGTACACATTATTTATTTATGCCTTTTAATGTAATTCCTAATCTTCTACTAAATATTTTTCCCCTCGCTTTCTTTAGTTCCACACATTTTTGCCAGATTGCATACTGCTATAGTTAATAAATAATTATGTAACTCCTATGGTTTGCAGGCACTTTTAGAAACCCATGATACTATAGCTGATCATCGACATACAGGAGACGCAAGTACATCAAGAAACGGTTATAACGGTGTAAACGGTTGCCACGAAAACGCCACATTCATGCCAGAGGAAAATGGCTATCCGGTGGATGCCATCAGGATGGTGGGCCTTCGAAAAAGACCAGATGAACCCCTTGGGCTAACAGTACGGGAAGATGAAAATGGCTACTTGGTCATTGCAAGAATAATGGCAGGTGGTACCATTGACAGACAAGGTCTCTTGCATGTTGGTGATGCTATCTGTGAAGTCAATGGAGTAAAGGTGAGATTTGAAGGTCTATATAGTTTGTTTTCATCTATATTGGAATGCTTCAGGTAAAAAAAATTGTACAAATAATTTAGATAGCTCTAGCAGCCTGTAATATTGTATACAGTATATCAAATTGTAGAATATACAACATTTAAATATAAAATATTATTAGCATTAAGATGAAGAGTTAACAAAAAATTTTGTGTGAAGATGATGCCAAAGATTTGTTGGAGGACTTGGATAAATTGCTTATTTTATATAAATACTGTATACTGCAACCATAGGAAAATATGTATATTTACTTAGGTTTTCCACTGCTTACCAGTTTTTGTAGATAAGAACTGGCTTCCAGATATACAGTACAGTACAGAATTTAAACTTACAAATCTTAATTCTAATTTCTTTCTCCCAGATTAAAAATTTACAGGGATTGCACGAGGAAGTGGGAAAGTGTCGAGACTCGGTGACATTGAAAGTGATACCAGCCCTACGTGATCCACCATCCAGTAACCAGGTAACCAGCAGCCTCCACCCAGATTCTACAAAAACTGTTGTAAGTGTGGCTATGTTCCATTCCGGCCAGCATCTTCCTGCTTCAAACCAACTAACAGCTGGAGCTTGTAATTGGGCAGTGATGGTGGTGAGGGCTGTGCTATGATGGTGGTGAGGGCTGTGCTATAATGGTGGTGTGGGCTGTGCTATGATGGTGGTGTGGGCTGTGCTGTGATGGTGGTGTGGGCTGTGCTGTGTTGGTGGTGTGAGTTATGCTGTGGGGGTGGTGTGGGCTGTGCTGTGGTGGTGGTGGTGTGGGCTGTGCTGAATTGGTGGTGATGTGGGCTTTGGTGTGGGCTGTGCTGTGGTGGTGGTGGTGTGGGCTGTGCTGTGGTGGTGGTGGTGTGGTGGTGTTGGTGGTGTGGGCTGTGCTGAATTGGTGATGTGGGCTTTGGTGTGGGCTGTGCTGTGGTGGTGGTGGTGTGGGCTGTAGTGTGGGCTGTGCTGTGGTGGTGTGGGCTGTGCTATGCTTTGGTAGTGGTGTGGGCAGTGCTATGTTGTGGTGATGGTGTGGAATGTGTTGTGGTGATGGTGGGGGGCTGTGCTGTGATAGTGAGAGCCAGGGTCAAATGGTGTTCTATTATATATGACATGCATGCATATGTGAGGTTGTTACCTTCTAAGAAAGCAAGACTTAAGGGTATTCTTGAAGTTTTAGGCAGAGGTCAGATTTAAATTACCAAAGGTAGTACCGTATTAAAGAACAAATCCACAAGGGCCGTGATGAGGGTTCGAAGGCGTGTCCAGGAAGATCCCAGATGCGCCTTAGTCGACTGTGCCATGACATGATCAAAAGAAACTTGTGCCTCAAAATTACCCTTGTGGATTTGTTCATTTGATGTATCATGCTATTGTGATTTCTGTATGTAGTGTAGTACCATATATATACATACAAGATACAGTATATTGGTTTGCCTTGGTCCTTTTAAGTAAATTCCACTGTATTGTACCTGCTTCCTTTTTTTCACTACTTGGTGGCTGGCCACATTCTCCACCACATAAATACATATAAAATACTTTTCCAAATAATTATCTTTTTTTCTTTTATCTTTTAATGTTTTGTTATTCTGTACATGCTTGCTGATGCAATAGAATACTTATTCTTTCACACATGTTCTTGTTTTCAGTCACACTATGTAAGAACCAAACCAGTATGTAGAATTATTAGGAATGAGTTCCATGCACATCTGTAGCCTTCAACAGTTGAAATTTTGAGAAGGGCCAAAGGGATCTCAAAGGAGCCCCTGAAGGGAACAAGATTTCAGGGATACAGTACTTGAAATTTGAAATTTTTAATTCTACTTGTGTATCTCTCTCTCTTCCCCATTTTAGGTCATATCATTAATGTCTTATTTCATTATTTATTATTTAAACTAATTGGCTCTGATGGTTGACACATTGCAATCTATACAATACAGTGGTACCTCAGTTTTTTAATTTAATCCGTTCCCAGAGACGGTTCGAAAACCGAAATGAATTTTCCCATAAGAAATAATGTAAATTGAATTAATCCATTCCACACTTCCAAAAATATTAACTTAAAAATACATTTTAAACATACTACTACTACTAATATTTTGTACTACAGTATGTACACGTATATCTTTTTTGAGGACTCTTGTTGGAGTATGGAAGACAGTGAGGCCAGGGGGAGGCAGAGAGGTGTTAATGTTTGAAGGGTCCCTATCCTTTATAACAACAGTGATGACATTTCTGGGGTATTCTCTCTTATGTTTTGCAGGCATACAACTAGGACCTGGTTATGGCTCACTGCTTGTATGTCTTACTAAGAATCTGTCTATAGACACTTGTTTTATCCCTTCGTTTAAAACACTTGTCTGTAGTGAGACATCACATTGTCTCACTATGAATGATCTCTTATTTTTCCTCTATCATCATCCTCACAATTATTTTCTTAGGTTGAACTTTACCACTGATTTTCTTGGAACCCATGGCTTGATATATAATTTTCGTGCTTTAATGTTCAGAAACCAAAAAAGCACGAAAATAATGAAATTCTTCACAAAGAATTCAAGTGCAGTCATCACTAGGAGGGAGACACTGGTAAACTGAAGCGTGCCATATGCTCGGTCGGCCCATAAGTGTATCAACAAACTCGAGTACCGAGTCAAATTTTTAGAAGAAATTGAGCTCGAGAACCAAAAAATTTGAAAACGGCGGCATTCAAAAACTGAGGTTTCACTGTATTGAACCTTGTGCGAATGTGATATTTCTCCATTATCATAAATAGTTGAAAGCACAAACTTGAAAGCTCTCATAAATGTTCCAGTATGTGCTGCTATCTGGTGACAACCTCTCAGAACATTGCTCATCTCATTAAAATTATCCTATTTGTTTATTTTGCTGTGTACTGTAACTTGCATAGTATCAGGACACCATCTTACATGGTGTCTCATAACATACTATTTACACCTGCTATACAGTACATCAAATTATACATACATACTGGAGTAAATTTACAACCTTGGTGATAGCATTTTTGTCGATTCTTCGCCTAAGCAATTGTTTTACATTTCATTCTTGATTATTGTTTTTACAGTAATGTACAGCATATTACAGGCTTATTAAGGGCATGAGGTATTTTACATGCATGCATGCATTTTTTTTTTTTTTTAGTTTAGTTCATTTATTATGCACCCCATACCCATCTTGTGGGCGGTAGTGGAAAGGGTTACAGAGGCACATAATGGGCTCAGGGTTGCGTGCATAGTTATTTTTTTGGGTACATATTGTTATCGATTTTTTCATTTAAAACATTAATTTATTTAGTGGTTTATAGAAATTTTTGTATTTATATTATTTTATTCTTTGAGAACACATTCAACCTAAAATTGAGTTAATTGGGTCATTTATTCTATTATAGATTAAAGTATTTTCTTGGCACCAAAATTTTTTCAAGATAATTTTAATGTTAGATACTGTACATGGAATGTACATTATTTTGTCTCATTGGAAATTTAATCATTAAAAAATGGAGCCTTAAACCATCTCTCGCTGATGCACGGTCAAATATAAATGCTGTCCACAGCCAATGGGTCGAGCAAGCTGGGTAAATGAAATTTCTCTTCAGAAATACTATATGCATTAGTGACAATGCATGAACTTTCTACAATTATTTGCACATCGTAGTCAATGTTATAGAAATTAGAGGGACTATAAGCATGTTTTATATTGCAGTACGCCATGTGGGAGAGCTGTTATGTTTTGGACAATTATAATATTTTAGCCAAATTTAGAATTGCAAAAATATCTGTTTGAAATTTGTCATAGTATAGCTAAACTTTACTTTTAAGGCTGTACTGTACTAGTAAACATTTGAGTTATTAATACTGTATTTATGAGTAAATGAAGGTAGGTATACTGTCATGACTTCAAATTTAAAGGGTTGTTCCAGATATTTGTCTTGTATGTTCCAGACATAGACCTCCACAAAATAACATTCCTTCCTAAGTTATGTTGCATAATAAGCAATATTTATACAGTAAATGCAAAACTTAGTTTCTGCATACAAAATACATCTTGTTTCAAAAGTACAGAAGTTTAAATTTGGTTAATAATGTTTAATACATCTTCAGGCTACTTTTTAATCACATTTTAGACATAGCCAAAGAAACTGAAAGATAATTTGTATATTTTGTATACTGTACAGTATTTTCTTCATAACGTTGTACAGTATTACTATTTTAAACGTTTTGTTTGTAGATAGAGGCTTAATCATGCTGAATAGAGAATACGAAGGTGGCTAATCTTCCTATTAATAGCATTAATAGACAGGATGCTTATTTATTTTCAACAATATTGATAATTAACTTCTCACCCAAATAGACCCCTTTGTGTCTCACTGTGTAAAGTTTCACTAGCTAAATTTTCTTGATGTTCACTCAAGTCATAGACGAGGCATTTATTAAGAGTATCATACTATGACTATTTTTAATATCTTTGTTAATACCTGTACAGTCATTATTTGAATATATATTTATTCATTACCTGTATTTGTAAATACATCATATTATTGTAATCAGTATAATTTAAGGAATGTATATGACAAATATCCAGAACATACCTCTAGTACAAATTTGTACTAAAGTTAAAAATATATAAACAATATCAAATTTACGTAAGATAATAAGTATAATTTGATTTATTAGGGCTGTTGATTGAAGTACTGGGAGAAGTTTGTCCGGAACATTCCGGTATCTGAAACATACAGTACAGGCGCTTCTCTACATTCACTTTAAAATTATTCAAGCACAGAACTAGAATTCCAGTGCATGGTGGTGTTAACTGTTAATAATACTTTATCTCACTTTTATTATCTATATTTTGAATAATTTCTGCATTGATATTTTATATATGCAAATAAAATTAATACAAAATATTGCTTTATTTTGCTTTTATATTCACGATATGGTATATATGCAAATGCTGACAATAACTAAATCTTTACAGTGTTATATGAGAGCACTCTACTCGTATGATCCCAGTGAAGACTCGCTCCTTCCAACCTGTCCATCGCAGTCTCCACAAGACATTGGCCTTAAATTTGAAAAAGGAGATATATTACAGGTACAGTAATGTATTAAATAGAATTTAAACTTGCTGTAAAAAAAAACAATTAATTTTATAATTGATTATACAGTAGTGATGTAAAACATCACTACTGTATAATTGATTTGTTAATGTCACTAATGGTTAGTGAATAGAATTGCAGGTGTCATTAGCAATTATTGGAATTATTGGGAACCTTTAAGTAATTACAATAGCTAAATTGGAATGTAGAATAGTTTTCAAATAACTTGTGTAGTTGTCACGTTAGAGATAATGTAGCTGCTACAGATGTTTTCTAATTTTTCTAGTATGAGCACTGATTGAAAGTATTCATTTTGAATATCAGCTGCCTTTTTATCATCAGTTTTGACTTGGCTAATCTTATCTTAAAAGGGTGCAACTGGTACTTTTGTCTTGACTGCAACCAGTAATGAGTAATTATCAAGTTACCTTATCCACATTATTATGCCTGCTGCTCTTGTTCTACCCTCTCTGAAGAGTAGATGGTGGTACCCTGGGAAGTAGAATTGTCCTTCAGTTATCTCTTGTTCCAGTGTTTTGCTGCTTCCAATGAAATCAAGGTTCACAACCTCTGTGTATGCACACACTTGTATCACACTTCAGGGTAGTCAACAAATGGAATGCATTAGCAGCGATATGGTGGAGGCAGACTCCATACAGTTACAAATGTAGATTCGATAGAGCCCAATAGGTTCAAGTACACCAGTTGATTGATAGTTGAGAGGCGGGACCAAAGAGCAAAAGCTCAACCCCCGCAAGCACCACTAGGCGAGTACACAGTGACAGATTTATTAGTGTGTGTGTGTCAAATTTGTGGCAGCATTTTTAAAGTCCGCAATGGTTTTTTTGCCTATACAGCTGTAAGTAGTTTAAAGTTGTATTTCTAAAACTTTGAGTTTGATGTTTGTACCAAATCATAAATTAATCTGCAATGCTTATAATTTCAGATAGTAGATCAGTCTGACCCAAACTGGTGGCAAGCACAGGTTGTGGGAACAGTTAACAAGCGGACCGGCCTCATTCCTTCCCAAGAATTAGAAGAACGGCGAAAGGCTTTTGTCAGACAAGAATACGATTATGTGCACAAAATTGGCATTTGTGGTACAAGGGTTAGTATTTAAATTATTATTACTGATAGTATTATCATCATCATATCTGTCCTATTTCCTACTTTCATGGTGAGGCATTAGCATAGAAGAATTGGAAGGCAAATAGAAAAAGGCCAAAGATAAAAAAAAAAGCTCACATACACTCACCATGTTTTCTACACTACACATTGCATTATAAAGCAGGACTAGCACCATCACACTCTGGCAAAACTTCCATACAGAAGCTCATAACTTCATACAACCAGGTGCAAAGTGCTTCCTGCAAGTTTTAATTTAAAAATTTTCAAACATTTAACAGCATGTTATGGAGCCATCAACAGACTCCATAACCTGTATTATCTAAAATATATCTAAAATAGTATTTTAGACTCTCTCTCTCTCTCCAGTAGAAACACTAACAAATAATATAAAAATAGGGAGCGAGCTTGGGGAACAGTGATCGTAAGGGAAATCAGATTAACATAGCATGGCCAACTTTTGTGAGATAAAACTCATGTTAAGGTACCAGATTTCAATAAAGCTTATTTTGAGGAATTAAGGAGTTTCTTTGGAAGGGTAGTGGGTGGACTTGAACGTGAAAGATGGGCTGCGGCTGTCCTCAGGTCATGTGTTGCCTAGTGATGTCGGTACCTTGCGGTTACCTTGTGATGATTTCTGGGCTTAACATCCCTCACAGCCCGATCCTCGACCAGTACACTACAGTGTTGTTATGCTGCATGACATTTTACTTAGTGATATTGGCAGTATGGATACATTTCATGATGTTTTACCTAGGGATATTATCTGTATACTGTACTACAGTATTGCTACACCTTAATATTTTACCTAATGATGTAAATATAGCTACGTCATGTGATATTTTACCTAGTAATATTGTTGATAAATTCTAGTGGATAAATTTTGTGGACATCTGCCAAATTCAATTCAATATTAGACTACTGTTGTGCCAGTGCTAGTTCTGCAATATTGAACAATTTCAATGCTTAGTCATACTGTATGTTGTTTGCCTTTGTATGATATTAGGTGTTTGAATAACATGAAGTTTTGTATTCTTGGCAGATATCAAAACGTAAAAAGAAACTTATGTTTTCCATAAAGAAAAGTACAGATTATGATCAAGCGGAGCTGATAATGTATGAAGAAGTGGCCCGGATGCCACCATTCATGCGCAAGACTCTTGTGCTTATTGGTTCTCATGGCGTTGGCAGAAGAACTATTAAAAACCAAATAATTGCTTCAGATCCATCAAAATTTGGAACCATATTACCTCGTAAGTATTCTAAAATAATATTTGTATAGATTGTAGGCAAAACTTGATTTAATAAGGTTACTAACATTTTATAATTCTTTCTGACTGTCTGTCAATGAAAATATTTGCAATACAGTACTGTAGTTTAAGTGATGTAAGTAGTCAAGTGTATAATTAAAATACTCCTTGGTGTAGTGGTATGACACTCGCCTGGCGTTCCGCGAGCGCTTTGTCATGGGTTCGTATCCTGGCCGGGGAAGATTTACTGGGCGCAAATCCTTAACTGTAGCCTCTGTTTAACTCAACAGTAAAATGGGTACTTGGTTGTAAAAATGATTCTTCGTGGCGGGGGTCGTATTCCAGGGACCTGCCCGAAACGCTACGCATACTAGTGGCTGTACAAGAATGTAACAACTCTTGTATATATCTCCAAAAAAAAAAAAATAATAATACTTTGATTAATAATTTGCAAACCTCTGGGGAAACTTTTATTATTTTATAACTAAGGCTTAGGTTCATATGGGCTGTCAAATAAAACCTAGTGAAACTGCAGGACAGAGCTGTTATCCTAACTCAACTTGTCTGAATACTTTTAAAGTACCGAATAGTACAAGCAGAGAAGATTGTGTCCTTGGGTCTGGATGCTTTGGCAGAAAGTACCGACTGCATTTAACCCTTGGCTAACACTATGTACTAGTAAAACAAAGAATATGTTCAGTGGCATAATAAGGTGAATGATGTGCAGTTCTAGTATATTATGTCTTAAATGCCTTAATATGAATCCAGAGTTTCACACACATATAAAACATCTTATTTCTCAGTATTATTGTCACTATTTTTCAACTGTTCTAATCTATATTTTATACAGATACTTCAAGACCAATGAGAGAGTTGGAAGAAGATGGGAAAGCATACCATTTCACTACCCGGGAAGCAATGGAAGCAGATATCCGTCATCATCGCTATTTAGAATATGGCGAGCTCAATGGCAACCTTTATGGCACCAAGCTGGATTCTATTCTTTCCATAATCAGATCGGGAAAGATGTGTGTACTGGATTGTTCACCTGCTGTGAGTTAAATGACTGTTTACTAAGGTTTTTATTTAGAGGTCAAAGATTCTCAATTATTTTAATGTTACTGCAACAGAAAGTAGGACTATTTCTAACTTTCCATTCAAGGCATTTTGTATAAAATTCTGATGTCATTACATGGACTCTTTGTACTTGCCTAATTGTGCTTGCAAGGGTTGAGCTTTGGCTTTAAGCTAAAAGCTTATAGATCTGGCAAATCATATATTTTTAAAACTACATACAGTATATGGAATAAAAGAAAAGTAGTAATCAGGCGTATTCGTCAAATTTCATCCATCTAACTATTCATCCAAATTCACACTTTTTTGCAACTTTTTGTTTCTATTGGCTATGGAGAGGACAGAAAGCCCAAGGCTTATTAGGAATCCCCAATGTCTTCCTGATGCGCTTTTATAGGTGTATTTGTCCTAGCTTTAATGGCCATAGTGGGTACTGTTCATTAGGTTTAATATTCTTCGGAAGTTTTGTATTTGTATTTGTATTTGTATCTGTGCACTACTCAGGGCAAGGCAGGATACTTTGGTGAAAAATAAATTTGGTAAGTACTTTTTAATTTTGAATACAGTATAGGTTGAGAAGTTTGGGACTCTTTTATTTTCCATAACTTGTATGCTTAGATTTAATATTTTCTGTATTGATTTTAAAGTTTTAATTAGAGAAGTGTATTATGATAACAGTACAGTATTAATGAATGTGACTAAATTCATAAAGCTTATACATGCCTCAAGCTATTTTTTTCTTTTTTTTCTTTTTTTGGTTAACAGTCCTTGAAGTACCTGCGTAATTCCAGTGAAATGTTACCATATGTAATATTTCTGGCAGCCCCTGGTATGGATCAGATCAAGAGTTTGTACAATATTGGTAGTTCTATGGGTTCCTCGAATCGTAACCTTACCGTGAGTATTTATACATTGTGGTTTCACGTGCATAATTTTATGATATGAAGTTGATATTTTCTACCAATGTGTAGATTTTTGTTAAGTTTTTAGTATATAACTTGATTTCTTAATGCTTTTTACTACTGTACTGTAGTCTTTTGAGTTACACAAGAAATGGATTCCTTGAAAACCTTGAGTTTCACATATTCATGCTAATCGAACTTAAAAGTTTTAGTTTTATGGGAATAATTTGGATACATTTCACAGACCATTCAAAGTCACATTTTTTCTACTCCTGTCAAACACATAGACAGCCCTTAATTTACACATGGTTGCATTCTTGGAAAGCATTGGGTCTAATACATGCTTGAACATTAAAATATAATATTCTCTCTACTTTTCTACAGAAAGTAGGAATATAGAACAATGCAAGAATAAAAAAAAATGCTTAGCAGTATCCTTATACTGAAAGGGATTTCCATAGTTACAAGGGGGGATGGATGAGGTATGACTTGCTTTCGAGTAAGCCAAAACACAAGTCTTGCTTGAAGAGAACTTGAAGCCATTTAAATATATATTTTTCAAGATCCAAACCGGGATCTCGCCAGTGCAGTTAGGCAATCAGCTGCAATCCTACCTGCTTACCTGCTAGATGGGGTTCTGGGAGTTCTTCTACTCCCCAGGTCTGGCTCAGGGCCGGGCTTGACTTGTGAAAACTTGGTCCAACAGGCTGTTGTTTGGAGCGGTCCGCAGGCCCACATAACCACCACAGCCTGGTTGGTCTGGCACTTCTTGAAGAAAACTATCTAGTTTTCTCTTGAAGATGTTCACGTTTGTACCAGCAATATTTCTTATACTCACTGGGAGTATGTTGAACAACCGCGGACCTCTGATGTTTATACAGTGTTCTCTGATTGTGCCCATGACACAATCCCCCCTGAGTCAGAGGGGGAAGGGACAAGGAGAGGGGGTAGAAGTATACAGGCAACCCTGGGTAACAAGGAGAGTATGCAGATATTCACTGAAGGGGTTTGAATGGTAGCCTAGGGACTGGTAGTGATACTGATCCCACAATGCTCTCTTGACCCAATATCTGACCAGGAACACCAGCTAGATGAGCTCATTGGTTCAGACGGGCCTTGCTGAAATTCCTGTTTTACCCCTATTCTCCCCATCACCAAAGAAGTGTAGCCTCCCAGGGGGGGCTGCAGCTGCTGGGCAGGCTCAATGATCAGATGAAGGAAGAATGGGAAATATATAGGTCTCCATGCATGGCAAATGCACAAGTAGTAAAGCCACTTGGCCATATTTCACATGAGCATCATATTAGGTAGAAGAGGAGAGCAGAAGCCACCCCCACCCACCAACAGGCAGTGCACAATGGTCCTGTCACCACATCAAAGAATCATCCCTAATAGAGAGTAGTATGTATAGTATATACTGTATAAAGATGTATAAGAACATGCAGATGACATCTCTCTTGGTTATGTCTTCACAAGCAGCCAGTTTATTTTATTATTATAGCATTATAGATAGTATTCCCCCCTCCCCCCTAAAAACACATTTAAGGTACATACCACATAATTAATTTTGCAAATAAATTATATTTAATAACCGCATCATCTTGTGTCCAGGTAACCACCCTTTGTGCTTTTTCAAAATTTGGTCTTTAAAGAATAGCTTGCATCATGAGATTTGTTCCATTATTCAGACCCTTCACAATTCAAGAATTCACTCTATATTAGTCATAGAAAAGCCATATTCTAGCCAGTATATAGGTATATATATATATATATAAACAGATATGACGTTATTAACTCCTTCTCTGGAGTTAATAACTTTATATGAAGGCTTGGTTTTTATTTATGACTGACTTAGTACAGTAGTTATGTCAATAGCTGTTCTGTTTCCTTTCATTTGTTTTTGTTTGCATTTATGACCTTAATCCCTTGTAAGTAATAATTATTTTTTTGTACTGTATATATTTATACATTTAGCTTTGAATGAAGAAATATGTAACATGTATAGTGCTTCTTGAAATTACTGCATATTTTTCACCATCTTTAGTTATTAAAATTTTTATTATGTTTTCTGGCATACGATTATGTTTGCTGGCCTGAAAAAGGCTGCGATGGAATGCCAAATTAACACCTATAACTTAATCAAGTTAAGCAATGCTAGTTTTTAATTTAGTACACCAATATCTCCATTCTTTAATGACTATTACATACAGCAAAACAATACTTAAATGTAATGCTTAATCATAGTTGTGGCTGTTATTTATGATAGAACTGGGAACAGCCAGGCAGGAAGTGAACTGGAAACAGAATTTTCAAGCATCACTACTAACTTACAATAGATACTAGGGAGTCACTAGTGAGGTTTAATCCAGCCCAAAGTGCTGGATAACCAGTATTTTATGTAAATTTCAAGCATTTCAAGCAAATGCTCGAGCCTGGTCCCAGGCCGGGCTCGGGGAGTAGAACTCCTGAAACCTCCTCCAGGTAACCACTAACAGATGGCAATACAATAAACACCACTGAATGCCAAGACTCATTTTTGCCTTATATACTTTATCTCATGGAGAACCAGGCATCAATTCATTATTAAATTTGACTTGCTTTACATTTGTTCTTGTACACAATGTGTACAGTACAATGTGTACAATGTATATACTGTATTGTATATCTTGTGCTTTACATCTGCATGTATGCAAGCCTTTTCATTATTTTCTTCAACCTGATCTGTTCAGTGCTGTCGGTGCTCAGCAGTAACTTAGCTCTCTGAAACTTACACCACTTCATTACTGATTCTGTGGTGCCTGGATCAGGGACTTGTGTGTTTTGGTATGTACAGTCAGAGAGTCAGTGTGTTGCACTTAGCCATTTTGTCCTTGGCTACCAGGCCTTTTCTTCAAATTTTGGTTATGGGCAGAGGACCTGGTTATCTGTCGTAATTTTTTTTTTATATATTGCTGCCACCAAGCTTTTAACCAAAGTGCAGAAATATCTCTACTGACACTCAATTTTCAGTTTTTGCTTCTTGTTGATAAAATTCTCTTTATTTCAAAGATGATTTGGTTTATCTTTTGGTTTCAACCTGCAAGTGAAGATGCCTTTATCATGGCTTCTTCAGAGAAAGAGTCAATTCCTTCATAGCCTTCTCTTTTTGTCTCTTGGCCATTGCTTCCTTCAGCTTCCCTACAATATTACGGAGGCAGGCCCTTTTTCTTTGCCTCAGACAGGACCTTATCCTTCTCTGGAGTTTTTTGGCACCAATCTGATTCCCATTTGATCCCACTTTGGCCCAGATCTCTAGATTATATATCACCTTCCTGTGAGTGGACGTATATTGTACCCTTTTCCCAAGTTTGATTGCCGTATTACCTCCTCTGCCTTAATTTCACTTTATTATTCCATCTGTGGATGTTGAACCAAGTCGTTGATAGTTAAATTAAATCACAATTAAAATACACGAGTTTCTGTGTGTATTGAAGTAAGGGCAAGGAAGTAGAATATCTGGTTGACAGAGCCTGGGTGCATGGGGGAACCCCGTTTTGTGTCTCGGAGAGGCTGCGTGATCCATGTGAGGACAGTAGCACTCCTGGTTATAATTCTTTTGACCATGTCGGGGTGCAGTCGACTAAGGTGTGTCTGGGATCATCCCAGATGTACAGTAGGTTCGAACCCTCATCACGGCCTTTGTGGATTTGTTCATTTGATGTCACGCTATTATGATTTCTGTGTGTGTTAATAATGTTATGATATTTCTTATGATAATGTTTATTACATTACATTACAATGTAATTTCTTATTACATAACATGTTAATAATGTTATATTTTTTCTTTTTTTCTTTTTTTAAAGATTCAATAATATTTATATTTTTTATATATTTAAAAAGTAAACAGGCTGAATTTTACTGGTACACATTTGGAAACATAATACCAGATGCACGTGAATGCTTCTGTCCATTTATGTGAGACAAACAGCATGAGATAATTGCCAACTTACCGCATTGGACACAATTATTAGCGATAATGTTCATGGACAAATGTGCAAGGGCCATGACGAGGATTCAAACCTGCGTCCGAGAGCATCCCAGACGCTGCCTTAATCGACTGAGCTACGACATGGTAAAAGGAGTTGAAACCGAAGTTCTACTGACAATTCTGTCATGACCTAGCTTATCTTGCTTTATGATAAGCAAAACTGATTCTGCTTTGAAATGTGCTTTTAATTATTACTCAAAGCCTCATCTTTATTTTTTCCCAAATTTTCTATGTACTTATTTTTTTACGCTTCTCTTAGGAATTCACATAGAAGTGAATGAGAATGGAGGTATTGTTGTCAGAAGAATGTTCCTGTCCATTTGTGTAGCATTCTTTTTGATGCATTTTCTACATTTTTATTTTTGCTAGAAATTTCTACTGATTGTGAACGTGCCTGACCATACCTGATCCCTCTACCCTTTGCTTGTAATTAATGTGCCCATTGCTTGCCACCTTCTCCATATCCAGTTTGATCGCAGCAGCTCGATGAGATACAGTTCCCGACGTGCCAGGACATTAGAGTCTTTGGCTTCCCTGTATGAGGTAAAGTACTCGATATAATTATTGTCTGGAATTTGTTTGGCCAGTCTTTACTGGGATAGTAGTACTGTAATGAGAAAGTTATATATATATAATACTGTATATAATTTTATTAATTCTCTCAACTAAATATATGAAATTCTCTCATGACAGGAAGATGATTTCAAGCGCACAATGGAGGACAGTGCCAAACTACAGCGAGCTTATGATAAATATTTTGACTTAATCATTGTGAATAATGACCTTCATGAGACTTACGGTGAAATCATGGATGCCATTGATCGCCTTGCTACTGAGCCCCAGTGGGTGCCTGTCACATGGGTTTATTAACAGTTTGAACAGATATTTTACCAAAAGGAACTTATGCTTTAGGTATGTATTTTTTCTGAAATGTAAATTTTTAAACATTGACAACAATGAAAGTATAGATACCTCTTTCAATAAATAAATACAAAATGTACCGAAGTAAGTTTCTCTGGAGTTGTAGTGTACAGTATATGAAATGCGACAGTTGTTTGCATGAAAATGTTTTATGAACAATATTTTAAAGTATAATTATTTAAAGTTATTGTTCATTCAGTAAAGAAATGAACAAAGTTCATTACTGTATGGAAGTTAATACCTATCAGGTTGAGAGATTTCTCTTCTTCCAATAGGTTGTCATGTCTTCCATGATAATCAAAGTTATGAAATACAAATTACATCTTTTAGGAACTAATAGGTTCATGTTGAACAGTCAGTTCTGAACAAAACCTGATGTGGGTGACCGGATATAATATGCTCTTTCTCTCATTACAGTACTGTATTTGCAAATATCAAATCACCTGCTGTATTATAAAAGCTTATTTGATCACTGACATTATGTCCATCTTTAAAATCATTCTAGCACATAGGACTCATTTTTGAAATGGTGAAAAGTTAGGCATACAAGGTGTTATACAAAAGTAAAATTGCCATCCAATTCTGAGAAGTGATGCTACTGATTGACATGTCATTATTAACGGATCTTTTTACTAATTGATAAACAAATATTCTTCCCTGACTATTATAAGAAATTAAATTATATGCAGTAGTAGGTGTACAACAACTATTTCTCTTGTTTAACTTATCACTTGAATTAATTGTACAACTGCTATAATACAATCTAGTGACGAATCTGAGATTATCTTGATACAAGGATTTTAATGGATTATAAAATTAAAATGGTATGCATCTACACATTTCAGTGTATGAGGAATTGTGTGTTAAACTTGGATTTGAATAACCAAATAAATAATAAGAAAGAAATTAAGAGGGCTGGTGTTGCTGCCCACTAAGATCAGTCTTATTCCTTGTCCAAGGTACTGTAACCCCTCCTTCCCCCCATCCTCCAACCCCCCTTCCCAAGTGACATACACACCCAGCTGCTCATTTTGGAATTGATATAAAATGCAAAACAAAATTCACAATAGTGCTACAGTGGGGTTTTAAATCGATAACCTCCTTTCCTTCTACTATTCGTTCATCTTCATGCAGATGGCTCCTCACCCCACAAAAATGGGAAAAAGAGGATAAAGGTGGTGAAAGCTTACATATTTGGACAGTTTTGTCCATCAATAGTTGACATTTTAATACATGTCCTTTCAGCACTAAAATTTAATCATGAATGATTGGACAAGAATTATACAATAAAAAGGTAGCATAAGTCAGCACTATCACTTCCTTGATTAGCATTTTTCAACTGGTATGTTGCTAAGGGTCCACAGGTGTGCCACAGGAATTTGAGAAATGTCAAAATTTGAATAACAAACTTGAACATTGATTTTATAAATAATTCTCTTTAAATCTGTGTGCTACATTTAACAAAATAATACAATGATTAGAATCTTAGTTATTGAACTTAACAGAAAAAAAAGAGTACTGTATCAAGATTGTTTAAATGAGTCCCTCAAACAAAATTATGGTGCCTTGACAATTTTAGAGCCTTGTTCAGTATGCTGTGAGTTGAAAAATGTTGAAAATCTCTATCCAAGATACAGAAACCAAAGTTTGATCAAATTGAGCCTTTTTAAAAATTCCTTTCTAAAGCAAGTTATTGTATTGTAATTTATTCTGATCTGTCCTCTTAAATATTTTGGCCAAATAACTGATTTAAATCTCTAGTATCTGAAAGCATATTTTTAGCCCTATATTTTGTTCTCACTTATATTGGATTCAAAACAGATAATTTTTAAATAAAGCATTACTGTATTATAAAATGTTTTGGAGGATTCTTTATATGAAAGAAAATCTACATTCAGTAATGTCTTCAAATTAGTTTTTAGATCTAGAATAACCAAATATTGCACCAGGTACTGTATCTGGTTTGTTTAAAAAAAAACGTAATTTTATCCATATAAACAAATTATGTACTGTATGCTTGTACAGTACCTTGCTGTACTGTATTAGTATTAGTCAGTTTAATAGCCAAGTCATCTTTTCAGATACTAAACATTAAATTAAGATATTTAATAAATTAAGCTCTTATTTAGGATAAAAATCCACACACTTGTTTATTTGTGAAATTTATCCAAGGAATTTACACCTAGTCTTTCGCACTCTCCTGAGTGCTTTGTCAAGGTCCAAGTGTGTGATGAGGATGAGACTTACATCTCAACATCTATTAGACGTCTTGATTAGACATTGAGATGTAAGTCTCCTCCTAACCACACTCAGACCTTGACAAAGCACTTGGGAGAGTGCGAAAGACTTGGTGTAAATTCCTTGCATAAATTTCATAAATACACAAGTGTGGGTTTTTATCCTTTGTTATTATATCTGTGGGAAGACATTACCATTACCTGTACCTAAGCTTTAATTATTGTTGAAGTGGTTTATCACTGCAATATGTGAAAAAATTAGCTCCCTGAATATCAATATTTTTTTAACGAAACAAAGCTCGGTAGTTTGTGAAAAATAACTCATTAGAGCTAGTACTTTCTATGACTGGGTACAGGTAGAACTCCAAAACAAATTTTGTTCATTAGATAATTTAGGGGGGGGGGGGTTGTGAAGTTTTCTTTAATTGCATCTGTAAACTTTCTAGTTCAGACATAGCTGGGATTATATACAAAGGTGTTACACATCTTGTTTTCTCAACACAAGAATAGAAATCTTCATGCAACAGTCAGTAACGCGGTTCTTCTGACAAGACTATACAGGCGCTTTTATGCAGGTAACAAAAGAAAAAATTGTGGCTTCTAGTGGAAATCTGTTGACTCAATACTGAATTTATCACAATTTGGTTATAACTGCTTTTCATCTGCAACAACAATTATTGATTTGTTGTTGCATTATGATCAGTAAGTCATTAAAATTTTACAAATGTATGATTACATTACTTACACATTGATATTGCTGCTTAAACTACTGGGCAAATATGATAGTAATTGGTTTATATTACTTTGCATGTCAAATCATAAAATTGTCTTTATTCTAAAATCAATAATAATAATACCCCCTTTTGTCTTTTGTTGTGCTTTATTAGACATTTAAAGGTTACAAGATATACATTGGTTAATACAATAGGATTTAAAGGTTATGGATCTCTTGGAGCTCCTCTGCTTCTAGACAGGAACCGGGGACACAGCAGGTGTTTTCCCTCTGGATCGCCACACTGAGGCACTGAAACAGGAAACTGGCAGCCCTTGGGTCTCTGGTGATGTCAATGAGCATGGAACCCAATTCTCTGAGGAATCCCAGGGCACTCCTACCCCAGAGGTCTTGCATCTCAGACGCCATGGGAACAAAGGTGTATCGACCTTCAAGTCGGCTGTACTTGATTGATTTTGCTGTTTCCCTGTGGTTGGCTGCCCCACCTGCTTGATCAGCACCGAAGTGTATGTAGGTGTCAGCCAGGGTGGATACACATATGTAGTCCCACACCAGCTGTCTGCCCCTCTTCCAGGAGTAAATTGTGATGTATATTTGTAATAGTTATTATATATTTTAGAATAGACAATTTTATGATTTGACATGGAAAGTAATATAAACCAATTACTATCATTACTGTTGTATATTACTGAATGCTGATTGTAAAAACTGAAATTTTTTAAAATTAGTTCAGCTGTTTAAAATAGGACTGAGGATTTAGGATCAGAGATAGAACTGAAAATCATTCGTTCATAATGATAACTTTTAAATTTGTGATATTTTAACATATATCATTAACTATTGTTGTTCTTGGTTAGGAATAATAATTTTTATTTACTGCATATACCGTAATAAAACCAAGTACAGTACAGTATGTATAAGTAATACACTATGAATTCAAATATACCATCGTAAGTTCAAAAACTGAACTAAAATATTTAAGATAAATATTACAATTAATACATGATCTGAGATGTGATGCACCCACTAATCTTACTTGATCGGGGATCTCGGTTTTTGCCTGCATGGGGGGATGTTAAATAATGCATGATGGGTTCTTTTTATAATCATTCCAGTTATAATTAAGAGGCAAAAACAATGCAATATTGATATTAAGATTATAAATTCAATCTTAAGGAGCTCTTGCAAAGCAGTGAATCCGAATCTAGAAAGCTCAATATGCACAGAATAATATTACTGTTATAGAAAACAGCCATTCTTATATAGTTTTAAATTGAGAAATATTATGAACAAGTGTAGTACAGTATTGTTATAAGCTTTGCTCTGTGTATTGTAAAATTTCTATTGGAAACCAAAAGTGATTATTATTTTTTATTAACAATATCCTTCTGTTTTAAAGATGTAAACCTGTTTATGGTTAAAGTTGTAATAAATTTAAAACTTTAAGCACAGGAAAATTGGATAGGCAAGTTGAGGTACAGTCCATACATCAACTATAATTTACAAAGCAGACTATGGCACATAAAGTTGTATATACAGTACTAAACATAGTAAAAACACTACCTTTATATGCCATCAGTAAAGTATGTTGGTATTCCTTGAAATTAAATTACAGCAAGGTAGTCTTGCTTTAAAATGACAAAGTATGGTATCATCTGGTAGGTATATAATTACCAGAGCAACACAGGTGTTCACTGTGTGAGCTTCTTTACCCTTATATAGTTTTATATTTATGTTTATACTGAAAATAAAAATAAATCCTATTTAAGTTGTTTCATTAGTACAGTACTTAAATGTGTTTAAATCTCGAACTTGGTTGACACCTAGCAAGAAGTAATTGTCAAAAAAAGGCACCACCAAGCTAGGAAGACAATGTAGAACTTGATATCACTAAGGATGCCAATACGAGAACAAAAGCACATAGGGCAAGTTTTATGAAAATATCGGATTCACCAAGGATTCTAATGAGGGACAAATGGCCGCAAGGGACATTGGAAAGTCATGATCATCCCAAAAATAAATTGACAAGTTACATGTATTGTCCATCGTGGTATGGACAATTTCTTCAAAAAGTCGAATGTAACTTAAACAAAGAGCAACGGTTTCAAACTCAACAAGCCACAGTGCAGGACAGAACAGGAGATGCCTTTTCACCCACCTGGTTATTAACGGCCTATCTGCCAAGGCCATAAATGCCAAAACTGTTGATTTTCAAAATCCAACTGAAAAAGATAATCACGGCAAATGGGGGGGGGGACCTTTGACAAGCTGCTAGCTTCCTGTCCTTGTCGAGTCCACTAGTGTTGGTAGCCCTTGGGTAATTCAGGTAAAAAATGGGAGATTCTACAAAGAGGTGCAGAACTAACTGGGACAATAAGGAGCATGGAGGCAAACCATTAAGTGCCAGGAGTTGAGCATATGTGCCCAGTACTTAAGAGCCATGAGGACAGTGCGAGTCAACCACTGATAAAAGAACGTTGACTCGCACTGTTGAAGACCATACAAAATTGCATAAAGCTCCACTGTGCAGATGCTAGGAGTTAGGCAGCACACACAAGTTTACTCAGGGAAGACAATGGAATAGCCAACACTTTGGTAGACTTGACCCATCTATGAACAGTGCAATGGAATGAGCGTGCGAAAAAAAGTGTTAAAAGAAAACACGTTTCAGAACAGTAGAGGAGTATAAGCCTTCACAATGTGGGTCAAGGCCTTGCAAAACTTTGCAAGTGGAACCCTCTTTGGGGGCAAGATTGGAACGACACGAGGAGAGAGAGAGATTGCAAACTTGAACTGAGAGGGAATCTTGCAAGTGTGACATCCTTATAGAAAAAGGAAGGTGGTGAAAATGAACAGGGCCCACTTGAGGGGGTAACAAAGAATGGAATAAGCGAGAGTGGTGGATGTTACAGAGACTGTGCGAGGAAGCACAGGCAGTAATCGATCACAACTATCCTGTAGAGTGGCTTGCTGGTCCCCCATTACAACCTATTGGTGCGATCGACAACATAGTTACAATAAATACTATCATTTCAGGAGGATAGGTTGAGTGGTTACACCTATGATGTAAAGTATATAAAATCTCGATGTTCGCCAGTAATAGAGTCAACTTTGCAGTAAAGATACATACAATTCCAATTAGCTCTAAATTCTCCTATTTTTTCAAGTTTCACTTTTGTAGATATAACAGAAATCCATAGATTTTTCCAGTCCCTTGAAATTTGCGATTACATTTGTATATGGCAGGCCTACCTGATATCAAAATATGATTATAGGCTGTTGATGACACTAGCCTAGTATGAAACAAAATATATTGCAATAATTTCTTCGTTTCTGGATTGTTTTCGACACCAGATTTTCATGATAGGAATAAACTAATAGCCAATAAATGGTTGACGTATGTTAGTATAAAAATAGAGATAATGGTAAATGTTAAATTTCAGTTGATATACAATCTTCATTTCTTTCGTGTTAATTTTGACAGCTTACTTAAATTGTATCAACTAAGGTAAGGTGGATGGTCTTACGCCCACACAAATTATTTCAAGAGAAAATAAATGTTAAATAAATCCACAATTTTGTAACACAAAAGTAAAATTTATGTTTAGTATAGGCTATCTGTGTTTCCAATAATATGCAGAGCTGTGTGAAGAAGAATTCAAATAATACGGTCACTAATGATAATATAATTAGAAAGACATAAGCCCTAAACTTACATATACAAATTATTTTGTAAAAGGTAAATAAATATTTAATATCAGGATTCCTTCGAAACTTCGTAAAATCAAAGCAAATTTTCCCGCAGTATTTCCTTCTATTACTCTGAAAGAAGACTTGGCGCTCAAACCACAGCCAATTAAAATAAGTATTGCACCAACAAATAGGAAAAATCCCCCTCAGCACTTGACCGTAGCCAATTAAAACAAAGTGTCTGATGCCAGCCGTTTATAAACCAATCAGGAAAAAGGGAACAGCGAGAGTCTCCCGCCCAGCCAACCAATCAGGGAACAGGATGCAGCTGGAGGCGGGCACCGACGCCGCGTGCGCCTCGGCCCGGCGCAGACGGTGCCCACTACCCAGCCAGCGTGGTCGCGCTGCCGGAGCAGGTGAGAAATTCTTCATTATTTCCCCCTTTTTTTATCGATGTTCCCCCCAATATAGATCATAATTAACGAAGGTATTGTTCTCACAAGTTAATTTAGACGGAACTACAAGAAATTGAGGTATAACATAGTCGAGGAAATTGATTATAAGTGACAAAATTCCGCCATAACACAAAACGTGTTTTCTGTTTCAGCAAGCGTGTGTAATGCTCCACGAAGACTTTAAGAACTTCTAATAGGAGAAATGGCATGAGCTTCGTACTTTGGTAAGTAATGACTCAAAGTTGTGTGCGGGAATTGACCTGTGACGGAAAGTGCAAGCTATATCATGATGGATCTTACAAATATGGCGAGAAAAGTGGAGGGGGTTGTGCGCAGGAAGTGTAGGGTGTAGGTGGGTAGTGCAAGGTGTCACAGGAAGTGTAGGTGGGTAGTGCAAGGTGTCACAGGAAGTGTAGGGTGTAGGTGGGTAGTGCAAGGTGTCACAGGAAGTGTAGGTGGGTAGTGCAAGGTGTCACAGAAAGTGTAGGTGGGTAGTGCAAGGTGTCACAGGAAGTGTAGGTGGGTAGTGCAAGGTGTCACAGGAAGTGTAGGTGGGTAGTGCAAGGTGTCACAAAGTGTAGGGTGTAGGTGGGAGGCTCAAGGTGTCACAGGAAGTGTAGGGTGTAGGTGGGAAGCACAAGGTGTCACAGGAAGTGTAGGATGTAGGTGGGTAGCGCAAGGTGTCACAGGAAGTGTAGGGTGTAGGTGGGTAGTGCAAGGTGTCACAGGAAGTGTAGGGTGTAGGTGGGAGGCTCAAGGTGTCACAGGAAGTGTAGGGTGTAGGTGGGAAGCACAAAGTGTCAGGAATTGTAGGGTTTATGCGGGAAGCGCAAGGTGTCGCAGGAGTTTGAAGTTTATTGCGGGAGGCACAAGGTTTGGCGGGAAGCCTTAGGTTTGGCGGGAAGCCTGAGGTTTGGCGGGAAGCCTTAGGTTTGGCGGGAAGCCTTAGGTTTGGCGGGAAGCCTTAGGTTTGGCGGGAAGCCTTAGGTTTGGCGGGAAGCCTTAGGTTTGGCGGGAAGCCTTAGGTTTGGCGGGAAGCCTAAGGTTTGGCGGGAAGCCTGAGGTTTGGCGGGAAGCCTGAGGTTTGGCGGGAAGCCTAAGGTTTGGCGGGAAGCCTAAGGTTTGGCGGGAAGCCTGAGGTTTGGCGGGAAGCCTGAGGTTTGGCGGGAAGCCTGAGGTTTGGCGAGAAGCCTTAGGTTTGGCGGGAAGCCTGAGGTTTGGCGGGAAGCCTAAGGTTTGGCGGGAAACGAGGTTTAGATGTGACGCACGCTAATAGTTAGAATGTGGGAACTTTTTGAAATACAGTAGTAACTTATTCCTAGTCAAGTGGGTAAAAATTATTAGTTTTAATAAGCAGAAAAAGATTACATGTGAAATAAGTTTTGGCGAGATGGTGGTAGTCATGGCGCACATGTGGAATGGCGTCACTTGCTGCAGTATAGAATGCGCGCCATATTTTTTTTATAGAATGCGCGCCATCTTTGATAAGAATGCGCGCCATATTTTTTTATAGAATGCGCGCCATCTTTGATAAGAATGCGCGCCATATTTTTTTATAGAATGCGCACCATCTTTGATAAGAATGCGCGCTATCTTTGATAGAGCAGTGAGTGTTTCTGCCCAGTGCTGCAGTTGTCATTATTTAAGGAGGTTGATTGAAAATATAATACGGTTGTAATCCGTGAAGATAAATATTACATTTTGATTAGAAAACGTAGATCGAGTCTGCTTTTGCGAAAGATTTTTTGCTTGCTATATTTAACCTAATTGTAAGATGTACACATTTATAAATGAAGACTTGTATGTTACATATGTTTAATTTGGTAATATTAAATTGGATTGGTTAATTAAATTAAATAATTTGGGTTGGAAGGTGGAGTGAGGTTCCCCGCGCCATCTTCAATCCCCCCCCCCCTCCTTCCCGGCTCCAACTTGCAGCCCCCACCCCCCTCCTGCTTCACCTTGCATCCCCTCCCTCTCGCTTCACCTTTCAACCTCCCAACCCCACTCCACCTTTCAACCCTCCCCCCCACTCCTTCCTATCCTTCCCCTACTCCACCTTCCCCCCCGCACTCCACCTTCCCCCCCGCACTCCACCTTCCCCCCCGCACTCCACCTTCCCCCCCGCACTCCACCTTCCCCCCCGCACTCCACCTTCCCCCCCGCACTCCACCTTCCCCCCCCCCCGCACTCCACCTTCCCCCCCCCGCACTCCACCTTCCCCCCCCCACACTCCACCTTCCCCCCCCCCCACACTCCACCTTCCCCCCCCCACACTCCACCTCCCCCCCCCCCCACACTCCACCTTCCCCCCCCACACTCCACCTTCCCCCCCCCCCCCCACACTCCACCTTCCCCCCCCACACTCCACCTTCCCCCCCCCACACTCCACCTTCCCCCCCCCACACTCCACCTTCCCCCCCCCCCCACACTCCACCTTCCCCCCCCACACTCCACCTTCCCCCCCCCACACTCCACCTTCCCCCCCACACTCCACCTTCCCCCCCACACTCCACCTTCCCCTTCCCCCCCACACTCCACCTTCCCCCCCCCCCACACTCCACCTTCCCCCCCCCCCACTCCACCTTCCCCCCCCACTCCACCTTCCCCCCCCCACT